TCCTTGCCTCAGTTTCCTCCCCGTGCCCCAGTTTCCTCCCCGTGCCTCAGTTTCCTCCCCGTGCCTCAGTTTCCTCCTTGCCTCAGTTTCCTCCCCGTGCTTCAGTTTCCTCCCCGTGCCTCAGTTTCCTCCCCGTGCCTCAGTTTCCTCCTTGCCTCAGTTTCCTCCTTGCCTCAGTTTCCTCTCCTTGCCTCAGTTTCCTCCCCGTGCCTCAGTTTCCTCTCCTTGCCTCAGTTTCCTCCCCGTGCCTCAGTTTCCTCTCCTTGCCTCAGTTTCCTCTCCGTGCCTCAGTTTCCTCCTTGCCTCAGTTTCCTCCCGGTGCCTCAGTTTCCTCCTGTGCCTCAGTTTGTGGAGCTGTCAACATGGGGCTACACCCACTGGGTCCCATCTGCCGGGGGCTCCTCTTGGGCCACATTGGCTTCTGGTTAGATCATTTGTGTCAATTCAGTGGGGTGTCATGGGGTGCCTCCCATAACGAAGCCCAGTCAGATCCTGGGCATGCAGGGAATCAGCCCAAGGGCTCAGCATCTCAGGAGACAGATAACATGAACTCCCGGAAGATGAGGACAGGCGAGAGGCCTGACGGGGGAGGGGCATGGGGCAGGCTGGAGGCCAGGAGGGTGCTGCCAGGTGGAGCTATCAGGTGAACAGCATGGACAAAGGGCTCTCCAGGCCGGCACCAGCCTGGACAAGGCCCAGCGACTCTCAGTCTTTGAGCCCCTGTAACCGCAGGAGCAGGAGGGGCCCGGCGCCGTGGTGTCGCTGCCCTGCTAGCACTAGGCCTCAGGGCAGCTCCTCTTGCCCTGAGCCCACACGGCTGTTGTCCACTGCTCTGACTCAGGCTGCGGGCCCTCTGCCAGCACGTGTTCCCCCCTGGGATGCCCCCCCGGCTGACAGTCCGAGCTCCAGTGTCTTCCCTGATCTGGGTCCTTTCACTCTCTCCTAGCTGGGGCCCCCGGACACGCCTCACCTGCTCCAGCTTGCTTTGCCTCCCACCCTCTACTTTGGGGGCCACAGCAGACGTGATCCCAAGCCCACTTTTTGTTCCTCACATAAGCCTTGTATTGCACTTGTGAAAGCTGTAACCCTGCCTAGGGAACCCACCCCCCATGTCTACATGGAGACCTGGTTCCCATGCCGCCCTCTCAGGCTGCAGTGCCTTCCCACTCACCCACCCACCTACACTTTCCCATCTGCATTGAGCGGTCGTGGGATCAGGGTGGGTGGTGCTGGGTGGAAGGAACAAGCTCCTTGTGCGGCGGATGAGAGCAGCCCCTTCGAATGGGCCTATCTGGATGGACCCTAGGAAGGTTTCATCCAGGGAGCATGAGCAGGGATGTGGGGGGTGGGAGGAGGCAGGCCCTGTAGCGAACACGTGTAGATCCTGGCCTGGTGGACCAGGTGGGCGGGGGTTGAGACTTCACCTCGACCCTGGCACTGGCAGGCTCTTTGAGTGCGCTGAGTGACCACACAGGCTGGCCGATGCCCAGGCCCATGCCTGTCCCCTGTGCTGTGGCCCTGGGGTCTGGACGGCGAGCCCACGTGCGGCCGCTTTCCGCGCCTGTGGTTCCTCCCTGGAGGGTCAGGCCTGGCTGTGTGGGCGGCCTTGCCAAGCAGAGATTGTCTTTCTGTGCTTCTCTTGGGACAGTAGGTCACGGACCTTTGCGTTGGGTGCCGTCCTTGCAGCTGTCTGCAGGGCCACAGTGCGATAGGGGTGTTGCTGCTTATCCTTATTTGGGGCAGCGAGAGCCTGACTTCTGAACCGCTGGCTATGACTCACTGAGGTTGTTTTTATAGATAATTCGTTTTATTTTTGTGTTGAGAGTACACACAGCAAAACATTTACCAATGCGACAGTTTCTGCACGTTACCCAGCGACACTGATGACGTCCTTTGAGTTGGGCAGCCGTCTTCCCCTGTTTTTCTGTTGTTCCTTCCCCATGAACATAAACTCACTGCTCTCTAAAGTTCCTGGCTCATCTTTCAATTGCTGTTGTCAGTCTCATTCCATATAGATGGCTCTTAAAAGACTATGGTGCTTAGGCAGGTTTCATTTTACTGGTTAAGCTAAATTGTTAGGGTTTAAGAAAACTGCAGGGGATATTTTTAGTTTGAGGCTTAAGGATTATCTCAGGGCAGTAGTTTCAGGGGTTCATCTACTCTAGTGGCTCCCAAAAGTCTAGAGTCCATGAGAATTTGAAATCCTGGTGTGCAACCCCGCCCCCTTTTGATAAGGATTCTTCTGCAGAAGCGCTGATCAATGTTTAGGAGTGGTAGCGGCACTACCCAGTTCTGGCCTCGTGGCAGGGGAGGCACATTCCGCCTGCTCCCCCCATTCCTGACTCGCCTTCCTCAGCTGCTCCAGGCAGAGACCCTCTGCTGTGCTCTGGATGGCCGCTTGCAAGCTTTTAAAGCCAGGCACTGTGCAGTGAAGGAGGAGGTGGGAACGAGGCACTGAACGTGTTAGGGATGTCCTGTGACGCCATGACCCTAAACCTCCAAACCGAGGAACCAAATCCCATGAGGTGTGTGCTTGTACAAAAGCAGCCTCTGCAGCTATTGGTTGTCGTCGTAAATACGTCTGTCACAGAACTTTTGCCAATCCGCTCTTTCCAGGTGTGCAGCTTGTTGACAGCTGTGACACTAATGGGCTGCACGGCCCTGCCCTTAGTCCGTGTCCTGTCGGCATATGCTAAGGCTCACTACTCCATAAGCCCCCTTCCCTCCCACCTCTGCTGACCACTAACGAACTTTGTTCTCTGGACACGTGCCTTTTTTTGGCTTTTTGCATAAGCAAGGGCATACGATATTTGTCCTTTTGTGATTGGCTGATTTCGCTGGGTGTCATGTCTTCAGGCTCCATCCATCCTGTGGCATGGACCAAGTCTTCATCTCTGCTGCTGGCTGAGTAATGCTCCATTGTATGGATGGACCAGTCGCCTGCTGATGGGCATTTACTTTGTTTCCTTCTTTGGGCTGTTGTGAGTTGTACTGCAGTGGGTCTTGGTAGACAAGTCTTGGGGGGTCTCTGCTTTCAAGCCTTGGGTAGACACACAAGAGTGAAATTGCTGGGCCACAGGGTGGCTCTAGTCTAGTTTTTTTCAGGAACCACCAGTTTTCCACAAGGGCTGCACCATTTTGCTGTCCCACCATCAGTGGGTAAGGGTTCAGTTTCCCCACATCTTTTGCTTTCATTTTATCTTGACCATTCTGTTGGGAGTGAAATGTATCACATTGTGATTTTGATTTGCTTCTCTGATGACTAATGACGCTGAGTATCCTTTCATGTGTCACTAAGTCTTCTCCCAAAACCTTTCTTGTTAGAAGGATTCACAGTTGGGGAATTTGTGGTGAAAGGACTTGTAAGACCTAGTAGTCAAAGTGAGATCAGGAGACAAAGGTTGCAGGTGAATGCAAGAAAGCCTTGTGTTTTCATAGTCACTGAAACAAGTCGACAGGTGATGTGGCAGTACTGTATATTTTCACAAACAATGTGCCCACGTAAGTAACACGCCCACGCATGTAATACACATACATGATGAAACTAGGTAAAACAGTTCTGGCATATCATGTGTTATTTGCGTAAAAAAGTGGTAGTGTTGAAATCCTATGGGCCTCCCATTCCCACCTACCTCATGCTTGTCCAGGCACAAGCTCATCAGGGTCTCCACCTCTGCAGCTTTAATGCGTTTTATCTTGTTGCACGTTCCTTCGCTTCAGGAACTGTAGCCTATACAGGGGCAGTTTTCTTGTGCCTGGCCTCTATCTTGGAGCTGGGCATCTTTCTTTCTTTTTTTTTTTTTTTTT